ATATGTCGTCCTCCTCTATAATCACCCAGTTTCTTGCATAAAAAATGTGATTATAAATGAGTGTGATAATGAAATACAGTATATCTAAATTTCAATGAAATGCGTTATATGAAATTTCGATATGTATTGATATATATCAAATATCGTTAATTATCTATAAAATTTTTTATCGAAAGATTTCGATAAATCGATATACTACTATAAATATCTATTTAGGATATATATCGAAATATAGCTATATAGCGATATATTGCAATTTATCATTTATTATCAATAAAATTATATGTGCTATATAGCGATATAAAGCTTATTATTGAATAACATCGCCATTAATATTTTCAATATTTATCGTATTTCCGATATTTATCGATTCTTATCGTTTTACGATATATTACGATTTTTTGATTATATCGATATATAATCTCTTTTATCGATTTAAGCCGTTATTTTCTAATCGATATATATCGATTTGTTGCTTTATATCGATATGTATTCATATTAAAAATTTTCTGATGATAAGTTTAGTTTTTTAATAGTCTTTATATATTTCTACTATTTATTGATAATTTTGTTTCTGCAAATTTGTGTACAAAGGATCAGCTAAAAAAATTCCTAAACTTATTTGATTTATTAACAACAACTATTAAACATATAACTATTAAATTTAAATAAACTCAAGTTAAATTTATTTAAATTTAATTTAGATTTAGATAAATTTAAATCAGATTTATTTAAACCTAACTTAAAAAAAATATTTTGTTTTCTACAAGGTTTTTTTAATTGAATATATTAATTATATAAAAGTAAAAACTAGGTTAAATAGTAATATATAATTTTTCAAGCTTGACACAGGCTTATAATTGTGATTATTTATAATAAATACAATTTTTGTATTTGTTTTTTTTGTTTTCATTCTCTCTTATCCTCTTTTTTCATATTTGTATTTCTTTATATTTTTGTATTTTTTTTATAGATTTTTTTTGGACATGTTTCTATATAGGTATTATTTATCTTATTAGTGCAGTTAATTACATGTAAACACTTAAATGACTTTGTCATATTGAAGCAACTACATGATTGTTAAACTATAATTTTATTGTTATATTGTTATTAGCAGTAACAAAGCTTTAATAAATAAGTTACTGGCACAACTTGTCAAAGTATTAAAAAAAAATATTTTTTTTTTGATGCTAAATAAGTTTACTTAGTGCATGAAATTAGAATTAATTAGAATTATAAGATTTTGTAAAATTTTATTAATAAAATTCTATAAAATCTTATAATTTTCAAAATTTTACCAATTAATTCTAACTTTATACACTAAGTAAACTTGTTCAGCACCAAAAATGTATATAAATTCAAACTCAAACTAGTTTGCAAACTTCGGAGTAAAATTTAGAGTTTGAGTCCGGTTCGATCCCGAACCGGACCTAGGAGAACTAATCAAGATCATTGTCCGAAGCGTAGCGAGGACTCTATTGTTTGAGTAAACTTGAATGCACGTTCATGCAATGTTAGTCAGATACAACCAATAAAAATCGAGATTTGACGGGACCCGTGATGATCTACAGTCAGTGCAACTACGCATATTCGCTTCGGACTTACATCAGATTCTGATTTCCTAGTATAAAAATGATCTACGTACACTTTGCCCTTAAAAAGTATACTCAATTAATATATATTATATATGCATAAGTCTTTATTATAGTATAATATTAGTTGATATACATACGTCATCAAAAGTAATGTTAAAGAAATCGGAAATCAGAAATCGATTTCTTTTTTTTTAAGAATTTTTGTTCAACAAAATTTAATGCAGATCACGGACTACGGAGTTTTTATGCCGTATTCGCCAAAGTATATACAGTACAAGTAATGTAGAACAACTTTTAAAATATTATTTATATATCATGTGATGTGTAATACCTGATTTAAAATTTTTCAATTGTAAAAAATTGCATCACGCGGGTATTTTTGGCGAACAGAATACGGTACTAATTAGGTTTATAAGTATATAACCTTTAAAAGAAAACCCAATAAACTTTCCGAGTGCATTCTTTGGTTATATTCAAAATTTCACTTGTTCGAAATGCAATTTTTATTAAAAGCTATAATACTATTAAACCGTATTTAATAATATTAAAGAGTCTTAAATAATATTTAATACTTGATATAAAAATTTATTAAGATAGTATAAAATAGAGTCGTTCTAGCAAAAAATTTTACAGAATTTGCTAACCATAAAAATAAAATGGTTAAAATCAACCTTAAAATATATTCCACCTTTTAACTTCTCTAAAAACATGTTTATTTTCTAACTTAGTGCTATGTTCAAGTTCTTCATAAATCACAATATCCCAACCACACTTTTGTTGTTTCACCTCATCAAATACAATAACTTTATTCGCCAAACGTTTTAACTTCATCATCTTATTATTTGATATAAAACCATTCCTAGAATAAGCCAAAGAAAGATGATCTATTGCTTTTGGACGAATGATAGTTTTAGTACCATTATCACTGGTCGATATATTTGAGTTTGATTCTTCAAAAGATAAGCAAGAAAGTTGATTAACAAGATCAAGCATTGCTTGACATACTTGTAAAGGAATTAAAAGAGATGTAGGCTTCAAATAAAGGATATCTTTGACGAGTGGATAAGTGATCTTATGGTTATTAAGGAAATTATCGATAAATTGAATTATTTGATCAAGTTTCTCATAAGCAGATATGCATTCTTTTTGATCATGATTTGCATTGATATTATCATTAATAATGTTTTGACTATTATATAAAGTAAAAAATCCGGTCATAGAAATGTGTGGATCATATTGATGAGCATCATTTGGACCGAATAATTTCAAAGATTGATCGTAAAATTTCAAAATACTTTGATGAAATTGGGAAGAATGTGCTGGTTCGAGGTACAATATACAGGTAAGTTTTGAAGGCATATTCGACAGTTAAATTAATCGACCGATACAAAGTACGAATGGAAGTACGTAACGGTAGGTATTTATTGATTATTTTTAAGTATTGCTTATGTAATTTCAATGATTGATTAAAACGAGTATAACGATAAATGGTAAATTATTTTTGAATCCGGACCAATTTACATATGACGTAATAACATGTTGGTTCAAAAATAATACCCAAATAAAATCAGTACAAATTAGACACGTGACACCATGTGTCATAGCTTGACGGACAATGAATTTAATACGTATGTCGTACATATAGTAGATTATTGTAAATCATTGTAATTTTAGGTGGAAAAAAAATCTATAAAGAAATATAATACAAATAAAGTGAATTAATAATTATTTCCCAGAATTATTATTTAAAACCTCTCATCTGAACTAAATATTGACTCCTTAAATTTCAGCCATAAACTTTTTTTCCTTTCCCAGGCATCAAGTTCATATTCATTATCTTGACGAAAATATAACTTCAAAAATTTTTTTACAAAATGTTCAATAATAGGGTTGTTTCCATCAACATCATCATTTATACAAAACACTGATGGATTCTTATTTATAATATTATTTAATTCATACCATGCTTGGTGAGGGTGCTTAAGTAATACAAAACTAAATGAAGCATCGCCTATTACATAATTGAAACGAGATATTTGATTTACTGCGTATTCGCGATAATTAAAAATTGCATTTGATTGTGTGCTATTATAATCATCAGTGTTGTCCTTAAAACTATTATATTTGAGATTATTATCCTTGAGGTTATTATTGAGATTATTGTCTTTGAGGTTATTATCCTTATGGTTTTGGTTGAGATTATTTTCTTTGAAATTATTACTTTCCTCTGCTATCGAAGAAGGGGACGGTGGTAAGAATGCTTCTAAGCCTGATTCTCCTGACAAAGATATAACACTTGAAATTATACAATCACCACATCCATATTTATTAAAAGCTAGCTCACGAAAAATTTTATCTATAGGAACGCTACCCGTATTATTATCCATAAAATCTTTTCCAAAACAATAATTAAAATCCATTTTACATTTTGTATCATAAAAATTTGATCGTGGATTCAAATTAGGATATCCATCCATACTTGACCAAATATAAGATGTTTCGTATGGAAGAAAAAGATTTGCGTCATTAAGAATTTTTGAATAATTAGTTAATGATTTACGCTCAGTTTTACGAACTTTACCGGTTCTAATAGCTTTCAAGATTTCCTGGCGCTCTGATAATTCCCAACGACCATTATGATTCTTATCCATTTTCCATATTAAAAAACTTTTTAATAAACTTTCTCGATGTTTTTCTATAACATAATGTGTGAACAAGAATGTAGTATGAATGTCTAGTAATTCTCCACGGAAACGATGAGATGATGTGTCATGAAAGTCTTGAGGCCATTCGGCAGCGATTTCTCTTAAAATTGACGTTGATAGAGTATGAGTTGAGTGAGAAACATACGCTCTGTGCCGATAACCGAATCTTTCACCTGAATAAATGACAAAAAATTAGTTTGTACAAAGCACATCAAAAAATAAAAAAAACTGTCTGGAATTTTTGGGGAGCAAGATTAATGATTTCATAGATTGCTTACTAAGTAGTTTATTAGTATGATGCAAAGCGTACCATTCACCAACTTCAATAGGCCGTCCTTCCTCATTGGGTGAAACAAGCAGTTGTGGTTCTATATGAAATACCGGTCCGTATAATGGTGTCCAAAAATCGCTTGGAGTTAAATATTGTCCTAAAAATAAATCATCATTAAAATATATGATCTGTTTTATGTTTAGTATTTATTTTATAAATTTATTATGTGTACTTAATTAAACTAATAAACGTACTTGATCAGAAAGATTTGGAATATTCATAATTTGGCTTTCAATTGCCAAAGAATTAAAAGTCGGTAACACAGTGATGTCGGTGAATATATCAGAATGTTTGATGATTTCAATCCTTTTCATTCCAGTTCTGGGATTTTTCCAAGCTGTATTTAACCAAGTGGGAATCTGCATCTTTCCACCTTCAAGGTCCGTAACGATAATATAAATCTTATTTATATAATTCTTAAAAAAGGTTTCAACTGATCTTATAGAATAACGCAACTCATCATAATTGCGATAATAACGTTCTAGGACCATTATTTTAGATTTCTGTTCATAAGTTTCTTTCATCATTTTATAATAATCATCACTACCATTCACCCATGTATATACGATGTCAAATAGTATCCAGTCGCATGGTTCTTGGTATTTGGTTGATTCAAAGGCACCTGTACTAATCCATTGTTCTGTCCACGTCAAATCTTTACAGATGGATGGGTGAATTCGTTTATTCGTTATTGAAAATTCTGGATCTATTTTAGTATTGTATAAGATTGTATTTGAAATTATATAGATCGTGCTCATGAATATTACCGCGAGGAAAATTATCACTGATTTCGGTAACACGATCATTTTTAAGATACGTTTTTGTTTCTGAAAGAGCATGTTTTATATTACGGATAATTTATTTTAATACCTATATGATTCTTACGACGCTTTTTTATCACGAGAGATGTTTCTAATGCCAGATTATATCCCCGAATGCTTCATTTATAATATTTCTCAAGAAAAATCTCAAATCCTACTCAGGAACAAACAGAACTATTTAAAAAACGAGTGTGATTTTCATATTTTTTTATAAGTTTTACGATTCTCGGAATAAAACTTTTGATTTCGGCAATTTGCTTAAAACCTATCTCTTGGCATTGCGATGATCATTCCCGTATCTGTAATATGTAATACTGTAATATATAACGATATATATAAATTACTTTTCTTGGACTTCTTGGCATTTCACCTGAAATTTACTATCTATATATATATTAACATCACTAATGTAATTAATTTGTTAGATCTTATACGTACGTACGTACTTACGATCTGATTGCCACAGAAGTATGCTAAGCCAGGTCGAATTTTATATTTTACATTTATCACAGTTTAGGGAATGATGCCATTGATCTTCAATTACGCGTGACAAACAGTAACTTTATAAAGTTCATAGCGATAGAGAACTTTCATGTGATTTGCTAATTAGGATCAGTCGTCCAGGTAAGCGTTTTTAAAATGTAACGTCTCACTAACAAAAAAACATTGGTACGTACGTACGGACGTACTTAGAAAACAAATGAGTGACGCCAAGGAAAAATTCGACTTCGATCATGTAAAATTTATATAAACGAAATCGGTTTTCCTTGGCGTTGTATTGCTATGCAAAAGTACTATACGCTAAAACGACCAGCTAAAGAGATGACTGAAAAAATAGAATATTGTCCAGTTATGACAAGTGGAGAAGAGTCTACCAATTATTACTAAATGTTTTTTTTTGGTTTTAAATACATAGTTCGATAAAAGCTACTTGTGCATTGTTTTTCTTTTCAATTAATTAAGTTTTAGATAAAGAGCTTTTGAATTTTAGTTTAATATAAAGTTTAATATAAAGATATTTAATGCAACTAGACTGCCTGCACTATGTTCAAAATACATAAAAATAATGAATAAAGCTCGGCTTAATAATAACTTACATATTGAATTTCTTTGATTTGCTTGGTCAATAATCATGCTTTGTTTTACATAACAGTAATCGAATTAGCCAATCAAAGAATCTAAAATCACAAAGTCGCCGATTTTTTTTATGAATCTCCAAGTGTCCATTGAGGAATAGCAATTCATGATATTTGTCAATCAAAATTATTTGTTTCAAAATTTCGATAAATTAAGATTTTTTTTTTTACTTATATTTTAAGCATTAAACAAAGACTTGTTCTTGACCACCTGACCAGGGCAGAAAATACCTGTTCATTTCCCGGCCATTCAAAAATATCGCTCTTAATTCAAATTTACATTATTATAATGTATCAAAAAAGACACTTGAAACAATGAGCTGCCTAACAAAATAATAATAATAATAGTCCACATTGTTTTTAATCCATGTGATCAATAAGATATTAAGTGGCTATTACAGCTGTTTTCAAAAAGATGTGGAAAACGATTTCCATATACCCTTATGGGGAATCAGAGAATTCGAAAATTCCATTTAGTAAAAATTAAAGAACCGATTGGAGCAGGTCTTGAAAACTTTGAAAATCGTGGAAATCTTGGCGAATTTCACGTAATATGATAATCTGCCCGTTCCACATCTTTTTGAAAACAGCTATAATTCTGTGTCACTTAAGTAATTCAAAGGTAACAATTTCATGGAATTTAACCAGTCAAATAGCGCCTTGCCGATTACTAATTTTCGAAATTTTCTATCAATCGTTATTTGCTGTTATTTGCTTGTCAATATTCGAAATTCTCATAGGAACTATTGTTTTTACAAATTTTTGGATATTCGCTGAAGAGTAACAATTTCGGATGCCTTTAGATGATATGGGTCTTTGCCTTGAAAATCGAGTTCAAAACCAAAAATGAGATTGTTATTGAAGCTCGGATCTTTGATTCGGAAAATTTTTTGAAGATCTAAAAATAGAATGGAAATGATCGACATAACGGATAAATATCTTACCGTTATTTTGTACTATCAAAATTTAGCGGCCATTAATCATTGTTTACTCAAAAAAAATTTCTAGTGCCGTAAGGTCATTTTCAAGGCAAAAACCCCATATGTTTTATATGGGGTGTTATCTATTAAAACAGCCCTTTTTTACAATTTTTTGAAAAATGAGTTTTTATTAGATTTATATAAA